GAGGAAAAGGTGTCTGAGCCTCTGCAATTGGGTTCCAGCTAGGTGGTCTCTGACCCACTGTTCCCTGTAAGCTGAGTGCTGAGGCGACCACCCAGGAGAGAGTCAAATGCCACCCAGCTGACTAGCAGATCACCTACAGCCAGTAGCATGTGTTTCTACTAGAGGTGCACATCCGCACATGTCTTGGTGCACATAACAAAATGTATATTGCACAATGGATGGAAAAGTTAGAGGGAACATTGCTTTGGCCAATTCTAAATTGGAATCAGAAAGAGAGTTACTCTGGTTCCATTTTAATGTTTTTTTAAGGATCTGTTATGATATAGAGTATGTCTACACAGCAAAGTTATTTTGGAATAACAGCTGTTATTCCAAAATAACTACGTGAGCATCTACACAGCCATTCCGTTATTCAAAATAATTGCAAAATAACAGGCATCGTATTCCAAAATCTGTAAACCTCATTCTACAAAGAATAATGCCTATTCCAAAATATCTATTTCAAAATAAGGTGTGTGTAGATACTCCTCTTCTGCTATTTTGAAATAACTTAGAATGGCCCTGGTGAGGGGGTTATCCTTCCCAGTGTCTCCTGGGGCTCTAAATTGAGATAGCACGTATACATTAGGGAAGCCTACATTGGACTAATTTTGAGGCTTCCCTGCAGTGTAGACATGATATTTCAAAATAAGCTATTTTAAAATAACTATTCCAGAATAGCTTATTTTGAAATAAGTGTGCAGTGTAGAAATATCTATAGAAAGAATGCCCATCATCTATGCTATTAGAAAGAAAAACTTAAGAGAGCCAAATTCCATATGCTCCCAACTATGCCTTGATAGCATCATCACTCATGTAGTAACCATGTCTTTTTAAAACATCATTGAAGAGCATCCCTTCAGTGAGAATATTCAGAAACGCCCCTGTGTCGTGTCACACATGCCATAGCCTAGCCGAGCAGGATATTGTAAAAAGCTGAGCCAGGAGGCAGCCCCTCTGGAAGCAAACTTCTAACCTTCCCCATTCTTGGGCTGCAACACAGAGCTGGGAGTGGCAGGAGCTGGTGCCAGGGTAGAAAAGCATCAACTGCTTTATTTAAATCTAATAATCACAACTCATTTATTTAAAAAAAAGTTATTGTTGTGTTTATATCTACTGATCAATTGATGAGTGAAAATACGTAAGAACCATACCTAGATTTTTTTAGTATTAAATGACTATATCTTGGTGTATTTTGAATAATAGAAAAATAGTGAGATGGAGTGAAGGAATACAAATACAATACTTTAAAATCTTTAACTTATTTTGATTGGTGCAATTTCAGATTCGCTGAAAGGAGATAAGGAAGTTCTTTGGCTTGGCAGCCAGTCGCTGAGGGTATACCTACACTGTAGCCTTCTTCAGGAAAAGCTTGTGCAAATGAAGCACGGCATGGAATATCGCCGCGCTTCATTTGCATAATTAATTAGCAGCCGCTTTCACACAAGAGGCTTTTGCCCAAAAGTGGCTGCTAATTAATTATGCAAATGAAGCATGGCGATATTCCATGCCACACTTCATTTGCATAAGCTTTTCCGGAAGAAGGCTACAATGTACCATAGCCTGAGAGTGAACACTCACTCTCACCTGGCTGGCAGGTGAAATCCACAAGTACAGGAGTGAGGAGAGTATAAGGAAAAACTTCTTTAAAATGTTTCCCTTTGATAGGTGACATAATTTCAGGGATGGCGAAGTGGCTGAAAAAGGCCTAAGTTGGTGTCAGATACCTGTGCAGCCAGAAGTGTCCCCCCTAATGGAGAAGAGTGTCATTGGGGGTTTTTTTTAGAGTGAGGAGAAAATCAAACAAGTTTTATAGCATCTCAGCTCCTGATGCAGCAAAGCATAAAAGTATATTACGCTTTACATTTTTAAATAAATACATTTAATTAATTTAGGAAATCCGCACCCAACTTCCCATCATCTTTTAAGAGCAAGAACCTAGCAAATTGAAGTGGACTTAAGTGAGAGGGGTGAGAAATATTTAGTGCTTGATATTAAATACAAACGATTTTTTCTGCAAAACTTTATCCATCTAATATATAAAATCTAATAAAAGAAAATTATAAAGAAGGCTGTACACATGCACTTATTTCTCTTTTGTCTTTTCTCTCTCTGGGTATGTCTACACTACCACCCTAGTTCGAACTAGCGGGGTAATGTAGGCATACTGCACTTGCAAATGAAGCCCGGGATTTGAATTTCCCGGGCTTCATTTGCATAAGCCGGCCAGCGCCATTTTTAAATGCCGGCTTGTTCGAACCCCGTGCCGCGCGGCTACACGCGGCACGGGCTAGATAGTTCGAACTAAAAAGCCATTCCGCACTATCTGTACGCCTCGTGGGATGCTGGTTAGCCTTAAAATGTTAATGTATATTCTTACTTTGTTACTACCTTTGTGGAGAGAGAGAGACCCCATCAGGACTCCTGGGCTCTAATGGGTAACAGCAAGGGGGCAGATACATTTCAGCTCTATATAAGAAAATCAGAATGGCCATACTGGGGTCCGACCAGTGGTCCTTCTAGCCCTGTATCCTGTCTTCCAACTGTGGCCAAAGCCAGGTGCTTCAGAAGGGATAAACAGAAGAGACAATCAACGTGGTACATCCCATTGCCCATTCCTAGATTCTGGCAAACAGAGGCTAGGGGCACCATCCCTGCACATCCTGGCTATTAGTCATTGATGGACCTGACTTCCTTGAACTTATTTTGTCCTAATTGGAACACTGTTATAGTTTGGGCCTTTTCACCATCTCCTGGCAAAGAGTTCCACAAGTTGATTGTGAAAAAATAATTTATTTTGTTTGTTTTAAACCTGCTGTCTATACATTTAATTGGGTCAGCTTCTTGTGTTATGTTAGAGAAAGAATAACATTTCCTTATTTTATTTTTCCACACCATTCATGATTTTCTAGACATCTAACATATCTCCCACCCTTTAGTCATTTGTTTTCCAAGCTGAAAAGTCCCATTCTTGTTAATCTCTCCTCGCATGGAAGCTGTTTCTTACCCCTAATCATTTCTGTTGCCTTTTCTGTACCTTTTCCAAATACAATATATCTTTTTTAGATGGGGTGGCCAGATCTGCATTATTCAAGATGTGGGCATACAATGACTTTATGTAGAGCCGATATGGTATTTTGTCTTATTATCTATTCCTTCCCTGCTGATTCCCAGTATTCTGTTAGTTTTTTAATTTTTAGACTGCCACTGTACATTGCACATATGTTTTCAGGGAACTGGCCACAACAATTCCAAGATCTCTTTCTTGAGCGTTAACAGCTATTTTGTATCTGTAGTTAGAATTATACATTTTTCCATGTGCAATACTTTGCACTTATCAACACTAAATTCCATCTGCCTTTGTGTTGCCCAGTCAACCAGTTTTGTGAAATCCCTTTGTAACTCTTTGCAGCCAGCTTTGAATTAGTCCCTGTTCACCTCTTTTCAAGAATATTTATAAATTTAACACAGTAATCCAAATGCAAATCCCAGCAGCACCCATCTTTTAAGTGGCATACCCAGCAGTTTTCATGATGATCTAACGATCCTTCAATTACTTGAATGCCCAGCCTTTTGTTATTCTTAATCACCTGCTTCTCTCTTTTTATAACAAACTCCCTGCCCCAAAGGCAAAGCTGCAAGCAGCTCAAACTCTGTTGCATTTAAGAACTGCCTCTGGAGTCAGGGCATGCAGCTTTAAGCAGACCTCAAGTGTGAAATCCAAAGGTTCCAACCTCGGAAGTGTGGCTGCTGCCCTCTCTAGTTCTCCATAAATGTTGCCCTTGCCTATACTGCATGGACACTCTTATTCTGGATAAGAACACGCTTTCTCAATTTGGGTTAAAATGCTCGCAAAATGGTATAAGCTAAATTGGAAAAAGGCACTCTTATTCTACAATAACAATATTAATGTCAATCCAGGGAATTAAATCATTATAGTTATGTCAGCATAAGGTCATTCATACCTTAAGGTATACTGGTATAACTTCCTATGTAGATAAGCCTTTATGCAGCTGAATGTAGGGTGAACCTGATTCAGTGCTGTGTGTTACCCCAAGAGACTACCCTTGTCATTCCTTTTCTTCCCTTCTTTCTTCTATCAATCATTCTATTCCCCTCACCTAAGTTCTGAATATATTCTTATTCAGGCTTTTTCAACCAGCTTATTTTGGTGTGACTTTCCTTACCTTTGTTGCAATACTATGGGATAGAGTCAGATAGTCCCCAACAGAACTTAGTGTGCATGATCTCATTGGTTAATCATTCTCTACACTTTTTCCCCGTGAAATAATATTCTGAACGCAGGATCTTTTTGGCCAACCCAAGGGTACAGTAGTGTATAATTATAACCATTCATTGTAACCAAGGTTTCACTCACCAATTTCCAATCCTCAATCCCTTTCTCCAGCCATTTCCGTGATAAGGATTTAATTTTATATACCAGTGACACAATTTTTGACATGTTAGAACATTAAGGGCAGAATGAAAGCTCGAACAAAATATAAGAAAATGTCAATAAGAGAAAAAAGCTTAGGGTATATTGTTATTTCATAACATTTTTCTTTTCAGAGCAGCAATAACTACCTTAGTGGCTTTATTTTACTTCAAAATATCACAGCTAAAAATAATTCAGCTTTAAGGTAAATCCTAAAGGGACAAAATAAGCTGCAAAGCACAGAAATTCAACCTAAATGTGGCAAATAAAAATGTTATTTTTAAGAAGTAATTGGTTTTGGTGAAGATTCTCAGTCATGATAACTTTCTTGGATGGGTGTAAGTCAAATTCTGTCATTATACAAATGGAAGAAATGCCAGTAATAGGAAAAATACTTTTGTTTCTTTTGGGTTTATTGTAAATTTTGCATGCCTGCTTTTTCACCATCTCCTCAGCCTACAGCCTGTGTAAAAATCACTCATTTTCAGTTCACCCCTCCCGGGAACTTACGGCATGTTTATTCACTTTGCAGGAGCTATTCTGCCTCAGATTTGCACTGTGTATTTTGAACCTTTTCCAATGTGAGAAATGTGTATCTGCTTTACTAATAGGAAAGACAGAAAGATTATACCAAATGAAAAAAAATCAAATTTTAATGGTGGTCTAGCTTGAATGTCACATTCGTGTTTGCTCTCTCTGCATTTGACTGAGTTCTGGGTTCAGATTTCCACCGTAGAAGTAGTAACAGGTTACCTTTTAATAATGCTTCTTTTGATGAGTGTAACCAACTGGGAAAAGCTGATTGTATTGAAAAGTCTTTTTAAGTGGAAATAAAAGTATGCAAGACATTAATATTCTTCTCTTTTTTTTCTCCTGCAAGGACGGGTGCTTGTGGCCTTCTGACAGTTCAGTATCACGACAAGGTGCTTCAGAGGTAATGCTTAAATTGTTGGTAACCCTCAATGATTTGCTTTAGTGCTTCTAACATACATTTCCTCTCCGCCAAAAAACATTAGTTGGAGTGTCTACACGTTGGTTAATTAAGTCTTTAATTCGGATCAAAAGAGTAAAACAAATAATGTAATAACTTTAGACCTAACTCCTATTGACTAGACATTGTCTTTAATTGTAAGTCCACACAAGATCTCTTTGAAATGAATAGAATGCTGCCCTGGAGCAAGGGATTGGGGCTTTAGCTAAGTGTCGAGGTAAAAGGAAACAGATGAGGCTTTCTCATAGTGAGGGTGTTAGATGTCTTGGACCTTTTTTGGTTCAGTTAAAACGACTGTCTGGATTCCACTACAAAGCAAGATTTTAATAAGTATTGAAAAAAAGGCTCTCGCTGGCCAAAAATCACTTTTGGGTTATTTTCTTAGATTTCCAACTAATTTATTTCAGGGGTGGAAACAAATAACTTTTTGGGAATGTTTTGTTTTAAAAGAAGTAGAATTTCTCTGTGAACATTTTTATAACTCAACAAGAAAGTGGGAATTTAAAACCCTGTAGGAACGCTCTTCATTTGTAAAGCCATACACAAATTACTTCTTCTAGATTTTTACCCCACTTTCAATTCACATGAACACTGCCGTGTGTCTCTACGCTGCAATCATAGGGTGCGATTGTAGCTTGTGTAAACATACCTGTGCCGGCGTTGCTCTAGTTAGCTCAAGTACCAGAACAGTGAAGCTGCAGCAGCAAGTAATTATCCAGGGCAAAGGGCAGCCTGCTATGGTCTGGTTGACACATTAAAGCTATCTTGGGTATGTGTCCATGAGCTGCAGTCATACACTGTGACAGTGTGTGCATCTGAAATGTTTAATCTGTGTCTGAGCTAGCTTGTCAACTCCCTGAGGTAGGGGTCATTTTCTAGTTTTTTGGCCCTTGGTAAATACTACCCATAATGCTTTTTCTGGGTGATGCCTGAAAATGGATTCACATCTCCCTCTTACCTTTTCAGATCATGTATGCCCCAAGGTCCAGGGACAGGTTTACCGCTCCATCATTCATGCAGCGGGACCGTTTCAGTCGCTTCCAGCCAACCTACCCTTACATGCAGCATGAGATTGACCTTCCTCCGACCATCTCCCTTTCTGATGGAGAAGAGCCACCACCTTACCAAGGGCCATGCACGCTGCAGCTCCGGGACCCAGAACAGCAAATGGAACTCAATCGAGAATCTGTCAGGGCACCCCCCAACAGAACCATTTTTGACAGTGACTTGATAGACATTTCAATGTACAACGGGGGCCCATGCCCACCAAGCAGCAATTCGGGCATCAGTGCAACCAACTATAGCAGTAATGGAAGGATGGAAGGACCACCCCCAACATACAGTGAGGTCATGGGTAATTACCCAGGCTCCTCTTTTTTCCATCACCAGCATAGCAATGCACCGCCTTCTTCACAGAGGGGGAGCAGACTTCAATTTCAGCAGAACAATTCAGAGAGCACAATAGTTCCTATTAAAGGCAAAGACAGGAAACCAGGAAACCTTGTCTAAGTTACTTCCCCAGGTGCACTTGAACTGAAGACAAGCAAATCAAACAGTAATGTGGGGGAAGAGCCCCACATTCCTGTGCACAATATTGTTAAGTTACACGTGGAACAACTTAGTAAAACCAAACGTGCAAACCAGTTCTTTGTTTCTGATTCCTTTCAGGGGAATTGCATGCAAAGTGGATTGAGATAATACAAACTTCCATTCAGTGTCGCCATGAGCAGTGTTTTGGGGGGAAATATATATATTATTTTTTTTAAATAAACTATTTGAATTATTTAATTCTAAAATGAAACTTAGCACAGCAATTAGGCTTGTACAGCCTGTTTTATATTAACTGAATGGCAGAAAGAAGAAAATGAGAAGAAAGTTTTGCTAGGTAAATGGGGGAAGAATTGGCCAGTTTGCTGCTCTCTCCCAATTTGTGGAATTTTTTTTTTACATCAATCAAAATTCCTGTTTTGTGTGCCAAGGTGTAAAGTTGAGAAATTAGATGAATGCAAGGAGTTAATTTGTGTTGTGAAAAAAATGTGTTTTAAAAAGTTGCACTATCTTAATGTTTTAAAGAATATATATATGAGGGAACTGTTTTACGTGAAGTTCTTCTATATGTTGTCTTTTCAAACCTGTGGAATAATGATTAGGCCCCAGGACTAATCTGAAAGAATCTGTTCCCCCCCCCCTCTTTTCCCCTTCTCTTCCAACCCCATATTTGTCACTGAAAGGGGACTGTTGAATTTAGCCTAGCACCTCTTGACTTACATAAATCAGGAAATACAGGGACACTTAACATGATATTATCTTTGCAGTAATTTGCATTAAAATAACAGTGCAGTCAGTGTCTTGGAGACTTTTGGATGGAAATAAGCAAGCATGAAATTCCAGCATTTCACATCACTTAGGTTGTTTTAACTATTATACAGTTTAGCCCATTTGTTTCATTAAAAGCAAAACAAAATCCCAGACATGCTAATGTAGATTAATTATTAACAAAGTTCTGTCATTTTTCTCATTTTCACAAGGCAGTATTTTTAATACTTAATGTTTTAGCAATTTTGTTTTCACTCTAGCCTGAAATATATTTAGTCACATATCCTGATGTTATGCAATAACTTGTTTAAAAATGCAGTGTGATTCTGTCTCTACTTCCCATGCTGTTAAATATTTGATTCTTTCTTGTCCATTTTACTGTCTAGTTTGTATTTAAATTCTGTACTGGAGATCCATCCTGTTTAAGCAAGTGGACCTCAGTAACCATACCCTCTCCTGTGCAGTTTCTGCAACACATTTGATACGTTTTACAGTACTAGTGATGTTGGCAATGGTTTCTGCAGCATTAGAAAGCCACTGGAAGTGACTTGGAAGCCCCAGTTAATCTCACTGTAAGCCATTAGCCTTTTCCTATGGGCCTGATCCTGCAAACCCTTACTCATGCATGTAACCTCATTGAGCCCATGGGACTAAGCCCATGGGTAAAGATTACTCGTGTGTAGGAACTGGCCTTGTTTTTGTAATGCTGGTCTTAAAGTAATTGAAAGGTATGAGTCTGCCTGTAGAATGTTGCTTAGGGTTTTGCTTTCCATGGCTAGTTTCTCTGCCGAAGCCAATGTAAGAATTGGAAGGCAATTGAAGACTGGTGGTAGGAGTGATTTCAAGAGCACACAGAAAAAGCACAACATGCACTTAAAATGCATTTTGGAAATGGACTTTAAAAGAATAAGAATCTTTAGAGTCTTAGTTTTAATATTCCTAATATATATGTAGTAGAGTTTTCACTGTAAGGTCTCACTTTTTCTATGGTCTTAAGCCTAGTGCTTTGTTAACAGCAGCAACCAACGAGTGCATCAAATGCACTGTAGAAAAGTACTGTACTGTCTATACAGCACCTGTTCCGATTGCTGGAGGTTGGATTTCTGTGTGACTTCTACATATTAGAGGGCTTGATTGAAATATTTGATTATTGAAGTGAATTTTTGATCTATGCAGAGTTTTAATGCCAAAACAGCATGTGTGTGTGTATGTGTATGTGTGTGTATTCGTTTTATGGGTCTCTGTATAGATAACTTCCTTCGGAAGGTGACTTTGTACTATTTTAGCCTGTTGATTATTGGAATAACTATGTTCTGAACAGACAGTCCCATTTATAACTGATCAGAATCTGCTTGTTTCTTGATCTGAATTGTCCCTGGTACTTCAAAGTGAACCCTTTTTTTTAATGTAGGTATATTTGGAGGGAAAAGTAGGAGACTGCATTTAGCAGTTTCCCTTACGAATATCCACAGCACAGATGTTTATGGGATGACTTTCTAGCTATCTGCCAATTACATCTCTTGCCTTTTATAGATTCTGGGAGTCAAACATTTTGGATTTAGGATGTTAAAGAAACCTGCAGGTTTAGCAGGACTATACACATTTCACAAAAAATGTTTATTTTCCTATTTCAGTGATTTTGTTGCTATTGGAACTGAGCAGAAAGCCAATCCCCTAGGCAGACGTGTATGTTTATAGAGATACTGTACTAGAAATACTCAGTTGCTGGTGCCTAGCTCAGGATTATTCAGCCCTAGGGAATCTAGCTCAAAGAACAAATGGAACTCAGTTGTCATTCTGTCAGGACACTACTGGGCCAGGAGACCAGGCCTTGGCATTGGACCAGTTTGAACACAAGCTGTTCCACTGCTTGCAGATCTCATGAGAGGCCCCATCTATTAACTCCAAAGCCACTTTTTGGAGGATAACCCTTTACTGTCTTTTCACCCTGGTGTCCCAGTGTGTCTGTGTAACTCTCATTAACAGTGTTGGCTGTGATGCATGCACACACAGAAGAAAACACCTACTAAAGTGGTCTGTTAGGTTTCCTTGTACTAGGGTTACAAACGCTGCAGAGGAAGTAACACATTTCATCAGCTCTGCAAAAAGTGATTTTTAGACTTCATTGTGATTCTATCTTAATGAATGTTATTAATCTCTGATGTAGATTCTGCCACCAGTATTACAAAGGAATACCCTTTCTTTCTGCTCATAGAGAACAGGGAACACGCCGAAACTTTTAGAACTGAACTCTGAAAGAGAAAACAAGAAAAAAACTATATCAGACAAGAAGTCATTATCAATCTGTTCAGGCTCAAAAATGGGCATTCTTTCAAGGTAAATTCTGTGCAGCAATTCTGGAGGAATCTCTGTAAAAAGACACAGCACCATAGTCTGTAAAGTCTTAGCTACCCAAATGCAATTTTTAAACTGTTAAATTGGTATATTTTCTAACATTTATCACGGGTGAAACTCCACATTCTTGTGTATGTGTCCATGTATGCATATTACATATAAAATACACACAAATATACCACACATGTGGCAGTTTTCATCCATGTGATAAATTGAGAATAATGTGGCAAATCAAAGTAGCATGCACCTTTTGACTGCCTCACTTGAGCTCTGCCCAATAACCCATCTTTCCCAAGATATACTCAAACACTCCACATTTCTGAGCAACTTCAAACTCTTTAAAAAAAATTAATATCTGAAATAGATCATCCCTGCTCCTCTCTGCCCCACAAATGAAGAATTCCTCTCCAAAATCACTTTGATCTAAGACCTGCAGAGGACAAGTTTCAGCTGTTGGACTCTGGTGTGAGATTTTCTAGTCAGAAAAAAATGTCTAGTCTTCAGTGTATGTTGCCTGGTGGTCTTGAGGGCTAGGAAAGAGAGTTTTATCCTGTTGGGAAAAGGAGACTTCAAACATCCCAGTGGGATACATATCACTGCCAGCCCTGGAATTATAGAAAAATCTCTCAAGACTATTTTTAAAGGTTTGTGTGGCTCCTTCTGTGCCCAGTGCAGTTAGACGCCTGGTATGTGACGCACCTGACTTCAAGGTATGAATGAAAGATGAAAAAATGGTCCCAATTAAAACATTAAAAGCTCTCTCTAGAATTTTAAGGTAGCAAGAAAAATACATGATACTGTGGGGTGAGAGGTCATCATTAGTTAGGGGTGATTTGCAGAAGCCCTCTCATGCATGGCTTTGTGACTCATGAGTAATGCATCTTACCCAAACTCATGCTGATAACATTTTACCACTCTGTGTTCACTCTAGGTATGTGAGAAAACATGCACACATTCTATGTACACAGTCACGATAAACCGAATAACTTCCTTTATTTATGTTTCTGCAACCATGGAATTAACTGGAACTGTAGAATTAATCGCATTTATTTTGCACCTTTGTTCTGATTTTCATTCTGCCCGCTAATCTCAGTTGAAGCTACTTCTGATGTTCCAAATCTCAGTACTAGTAGCTTCAAATGAAAAAGAGCCTTGCCACTAAATTTTTTTCCTATAACTGTGAATTAGGTGAAAATGGGGACTGAAATTAGGCTGCTCCGAGAATAGTGCAATTCACTAGCTATAAAGCATTAGCCCTGTGAAGAACTCAAAAGTGCAGGCTTTCTAATGTTCTGCTGTAGAACACATTCATTTCTAGCCCTGACAGATTATGTGACATTGAACCTTAAAACTGACACCTCCATTTGTAAGAAATGTTGAAATGTTTTTAAAATGTTTTATAATTAACATTTCTCTGATTCTGTGGCCTGCACACTCATGGTAACTAAGGCAACCTGGCTTTACAAGCAGAGGAATACAAAAAGATAGTACCAATAAAAAAACACACTAAAAATTGATCTTCAAAAACTTTTAAGCACAATGAATAAACAAAACACTTGCTGGTGTGTTCAAAAGGATTATTTGACTTTGGCTATTTGAGGTTTCCCCAAAAACACTCATAGCTGCCTTACCCTTGACTCACACCATATGTGACTGTTGTATGTGTGTGTTTGCACACATATACAGGCACATGTTTTCTCTTCTCTAGTCTACTTATCCAACTAGTAGTAGTTATTCTAAAACCAACTTACTGGGTTGTTGAGTGGGTTTATTTTGTGTCAGAAGCCAAGTTTAAAACATCCCTTAACTATTTTGAATCATACTTTTGAACATTACTCTGTTACATGCCTGAGCAGTGGCAGGTAACCAGGCAAAAAGTTGAAAGCGTGAGGAGCACTTATTCTCTTCCCTCGCCCTTTGAATACTGTACTTATCGACCAGCTGCCTGGGTTCCCAACTTTGACATGGGGCACTGCTCATCTTCCATCCAACAGCTCTCCTCTTTAGGATGCATTTGAATGCAGCCCTCATATTTTGGAGACTGCCCTCTAGGAGGCTGCTTGTACTGAGGTACTGCAGTGAAACATTTTTAAAACTACAGAAGTACATCGTCTCTAACAAACCTAGGGGTAATAACAAGGGACCCGCATTTGAGAGTTGGCTCAGCTGAAGCTTTGCTTTAGGTTATTTTTGTGTTCTGTTTCATTTAAGGGCTGTTATAAGAATCTTTTATTTTTGTGTTCTGTTTCATTTAAGGGCTGTTGGGATGGTTGGCTTTCCCAATTGGGTACATGCCCTGAAACTAACCCCAAATGTGTCACTTTTGTTTTAACTCCCTTCCTCTCCCAAGGAGCTACTGACATAGAATTGTTAAAATTTACATATGCTTTCATAGCATTTCTCATGTAAAAAAAACCCTTGTGGGGATTTGTCTGAGTAACATCGTTTCAGCTGAACTTTCAGAGTTTCATTTTAATTTTGCTTCACTTGCTATGTTTCCTTCTTAAATGACAATTTATACTTCTCATTATAAATCCAAACCAAGGTCCATCTGTCTGTGAACGTTGGTCCAGGCCTAGTTTACGCTTAGCATTTTTGCTCGGGTGTGTGTGTGTGTGTGTTTACTTTTTGTTGTTGAGTTTTAGTTTTGTTTTTTTGCCCCTCACCCTTGAGTAATGTAGGTATGCCAGCAAAAGCCCCAGTATAAATGCACAAAAGTCCTTTTGTTAGTTTAGCACAGTAATTCTCAAGCTGTGGGTCGGGCCCCCATTTTAATGGGGTCATCAGGGCTGGCTTAGACTTATGGCTCGGACCTGAGTTCAGATCCTGGGGGCTTCAGCCATTGATGGCAGGGCTCAGATTACAGACACTCCTGCCTGGGCTGAATCCCTTGGGCTCTCTGCCTGAGGCAGTGGGGCTTGGGCAAGCTCAAGCTTTGGTTCCCCTCTTTTTGGGGTCATACAGTAATATTTGTAGTCAGAAGGGGCCACGTGGCAATGAAGTTTGAGAACTCCCAATCTAGCATACTCCATTCAGGAAGCTGTTGTAAGATCTTTGGTGGATATAAACTGGATCTTCACCACCGGGGATTTACCTTTGTGGATTTAGTTACACCAGCAAACCCTTCCAATTGTAGGCCAGGCTCAGAATAGGTGAAGTGCTTTATCGAAACCGTAAATAGCACCAATGCAAAATTTAGAAGCCAATTAATACTTTGTAAATCAGCCACACATACTTTGTTTTGATATATGTAAAGGCCACTACCACTGAATTTGCAGCCATTCACTCTACATTTCTCTGCTCTCAGAGCAGGGAAGGTTGAGCTGGGTTCGTACTGACAATGCCAAAAACTCTCCTTCTGACTGCACTGCTGCTGGACACAGTCTGCGTTACATCTTTAGAATGAACACAAGCAAAGCTAGCATCGCTTTCATGACAAAAGAGTTTGCCTTTTTGTGTTTAACACAGAGAAACAAACAAAAATACTCCCTTTCCCACCCACCCCCAAGCAATCCTGCCCTGCATGGGATTTACTGCCAGCGATGATAGTGTCTCATTTCTTTGCTCTATTGCTGCTGCTTGCTGCTGCTGCTTTATATGGTTTGGTATGCGAGTGTTCTGAAACCACGTGGTATGTGTTCGGATCTTGTGGGTTACAAAGGTGTCTTTTCCTTCACCCTTTCCTCAGTTTGTGCTTGTATGTCTGCTGTGGTAGGAATACTAATAAATATATACATATATATTAGATATAATTTTGAGGAGGTTTGCATGTTAGTAGTTTGTAAGCAACTAAGGGGCCTCATGTTCAGGTCTGAGCAGATAGGAATCCGCTTGCACTCTACGGGCTGGATCCAAAGCTCATTCAAGTCAGTGGAAAGGCTCCCACTAATTTCAGTGGACTTTGGATCAGACCCTATGCTCCCACCTTTGTTGTGCCTCACTTTAAAATGGTGCTTTTTCAGTTGTCTGTCTCTTCTTCTGAGTTTTATTTGTAAGGTGCTGTATATAACTTGAATATATTATGCACATATCCTACCCAATGGGTAGAACAAACAAACAAAAAAAGACGTTGTTAATACTGTAAGATAATATATAGATGATACCAATTTTAACAAAAATGGCATCAAATTTGTGAATGCCTACTTATGTGCTTGGTCCTCTTTTGTAAGAAAATTTGCAAATGAATGCATACAAATGACAAAAAGTCTATGTATTTTATTTTCCTATTAAATATCAATATAGTATCATAAGGGAAAAGAAGAGTTTGAACAAATCACTTTTGACTAGCTTGTAGATAGCAACTGGTTGTTTGATGCATCTTTGCGATGAAGAGCATTCTCTGTGTGTGTGTGTGTGTGTGTGTGTGTGTGTGTGTGTGTGTGTGTCACTTTAAAGAAAAAGAAAAACAAAACAAACAAACCTTCACAGCTTTAACTTTGCATCTAGATGCTTCTCTTCTTTGTTGTCACCTTGTTGCTGCTCTGGAGCTCTGGACCAGTTTTAGCGTCGTCTTCTCCAGAAGATATTTTATTCATACCCTTTGTAACCTTATTTACCTAGAGATTTACCCAGAACCTTGTTATCCAAACTCTATGACACCATATGGGCCTTCAATTCATTGAGACCTGGATCAAAACCGACCCTGAAAAAATCAAAAGTAGGCTAAGAGAGTTTTTCAAAAACAAAAACAGTCCTTGTGTTGCACCTGTATCTGTTGCACAACTCTCCCATTCTCACTTTCTCTGCATTCAGGATTCAGCAATCTGTGTAGCTGCAGTGGTACAAGCCCCAGGCATAATAGACAAGGAAAGCTGTAATTTACACTATTTGATCTTACCCCGATTGAAACAGGTGCTTAGTTGAAATGGTTCAATGTTTAACTTTCTTTGTTCACACTTGGGGTTTGCAGCACTGCTGGACCAGTGATAGCTGAATTGGGCCTAATGCTGAGTATAGACAAGACCTAAATCTGTCCAAGCCCAGTGAGCAATGGAATAAGGCCAGGCCTTAAAAGTTTTGTCAGTATAGTGATATCTATTTGGCATTTGACTTTTTTAATGACATTTTATACCAACAAAAGCCCAAGTATAGACACAGTTATACTGACATGAAAGTCGTTTTGCTGGTATATGTTTTGTTGTTCAGGAAACTGACACAAGCTTTTGCCAGCATAAACCTTCGACTATGCTAGCAGGGTTTGCAAACCTTTTTCATCTAGACAAGGTCTATGCTTTCGATTTTGAAAGTGGGTGGGAATCAATTTGTTTTTAAAGCTGACAAGCAAGAAAAGTCTTCTTCAGTTTGGCTGGTGCATTGTTGTGCATGGCAAGGCCCTCTCAACAGTATGGTCCTCCAGTCTTTCTGACCTTTTGGTTGTCCGTGTGCACTCTTGGCGTGGCTTGTTAGGTAAAGCGAATACCTCAGGAAAACAAACACAAAGTTTGAGTTCAGAATTGCAGATAGTGAACTTATTTTTCTAAACTGCTTGTTTAAAATAGCCCAGGAAGATAGTTAGCAGATTATTCAGTCTTTGACAGTTAACGAATGGCTACTTTTTTTATACTTGTCAGACTTTAACCACAAGCATAACAAAGTAATGTGTTGGAATATGTTTGAGGTGACGTTTTTGCTGGTTTTCAGATATATAGATAAATGCTACAATAAAGCTCAGAGTGCCTCATCCAAAGCCAGCTGAAAATGATGGTAAAATGCCCATGGATTTCAATGGGCTTTGGGATGAGGTCCCTCTCACTCAATTTATTTTGTCCTTTTGTCCTGTGTTGACCTTTCTCATTATTGACCTGCAACTTCAGCTCTTCATTTGTTTCTAAATAGCATCACAGTAATCCTGTACCTAACTAGTGATCACGGTGGTTTTGTTTTGTTTTAAAGAACTGTAGATTTTGTGGCCAGTTTCTCCTCATGCCCTTACAAGTAGCTCTGTCCATCCCTTTCTGTATATTGTGCTGTGCTATATAGTAAGCAGGTCACATATCTGAATTTGCATACTTTATGATTGTCATTTGTTCACTTGTTCATTGTTTATCAGGCATGGAATGATAGTTTTGGAAATAGGTCCTGCTGGCCATTTCTACATTTCTATTTGCACTGCAGTAGAATGTCTGTGTCTGGAAAAAAAACCCTCTTTTATGAACAGCATTTTACAAAATACACATAGTGCAGGAGTCTAGAGCATGATTTACACAGTAGCAAAACTTACATATTAAGTGGACCAAACAAGATGAATTCTCCTTTTAAAGACCCCAGAGTAAAAAAGGGTTGAGTAAAAACCTGATTTACAGGATACAGTTCATTAGTCCTGTCTCCTTTGAAGCTGCAGTGAAAAGATTAGAAAAGTGGAATCATAGCTCTCTGTTCACACTGCCCATTCCCTACAACACACAGCCAGCATCCATAATTTAAAAAGAACTTATGACAACCCAAAGCATCTTACTGCTGGACAGCAAAACTAAAAAGCAAAACTCACTCAGCTTAATATCCTTTAACAAAACAGCCATTTCTTTACTCACAGCACAAAGACTAGCTAAGCATAGCTAGGACATTTGTCTTTTGTGGCTCTCAACTGTCTAATACTTCTATAGTCAGAGTGTTTCATGATCGTGTGTACATTGATCAAGCTATTATACTAGAATTTACCATCAGATGAATGCCTGTTTTCAGAATTTTGATAATTTTTTGTTGTTTATTGCTAGTTATTATTTTACAGCCTACTATGCTTTATTGCGGTATGATTTTTTTGTGTGTGATTCTAACTTTGTGGCTTTCAGGATCACATTTTCAACACGTCTGTTTGGCTTTTTGTCCATTTTGTTTCAAGTTATTCCGAAATATGTACAGCACTATCCACAATATTTAATCCTTCATTTAAATTTTATTGTTGTAAAAACAAGTCTATTAAAAGAAAAGGTTTTTTTACAACTGTATTGGAACTACTCAGTAGCTGTTTATGTGAAGCTGTGACAAACCTGGCTTGCTTTAAAGACTTTATTATTTTCCTTTAACACAATCAACCTGTTGCTTAATTTCCAACATAACTCTCGGTTATATACAGGAGAAGAAGATTTCATCTGTTGTGTATCTATCTGCCTCTTTTAATTGAGCAAATGGTGACGTCCTAGTTTTTAGACCTAAGGTCTGTTATTGCAATACTTTTAAAGAAAGATGTTGCTCTAAGTGCTGTTGTTAGTTTTAAATACAGATTTTATGCTTGTTCTTAATATGCTCTGGTCAAACCATAGCACAAAATTATTAAAAATCATGAAATACATTTGTCTCCTGATGAATTTATTTTTTCCTTAAAGAAGCTACAAAAAGTGAAAAGGGGGGTGAAGGGAGCACAGGGAGAAGATATCAAAGGTTGTGTCTACACTGGCGGGTTCTTGCGCAAGAACGGCTGTTCTTCCAGAGCATCCACACTGCCCGCCTGCTCTTGGCAAGAAGATTTACAGTAAAGTGTGGTAAGAGAGGGCTTTTTGCGCCAGAGCTACGCTCTTTTCTAACAAGTGTAAGCCCTCTTGCGCAAGATCTCTTGCGCAAGAGGGCAGTGTGGACATGTGGCAGGGGTTTCTTGTGCAAAAGCACATCTCGCACATGGCAGTGTGGACGTGTTCTTGTACAAGACTTCTTGCGCAAGAACTGGCCAATGTAGATATAGCCAATCTGATCAACTATGCCTGCCTTTGCTCATCCAATATATTTACTCTTTTCTTTTCTTCCCACAATCAGTGCTGTGCTAGGAAGCAGATTGTTTCTGGTTTAGTTCCAATTCCTGGATTATTTGAAAATCTTGGAGAATGTAAATAATTTGCTCTTGAATTATAAGTAAGTGAGGTACTAAAAGGAACCCCTGAAAAGGACAGATGAGCGCTTCATTTCAAATTCTAGTCTTCCTGAGAGCAGGATCTTATCTGAAGGGTTAATTATTGGCCATTGCCTGGGGCATGATATCAGGATTGATGGCTCTATCATCTGAGCCAGTACAGTAAATACTATATTCCCCAATCCCCAGAGTAAAAAAGGGTTGAGTAAAAATCTGATTTACAGGATACAGTTCATTAATCCTGTTGATGTTCCTCTTTGACCATCAATTAAAATTAATTCAATCTTGTGATGAGAGGAGGGTGAGGAGGAGCGATAGAGTAAATGGCTCGTAAGAGCTCAACTAAAAATCATCCATCTTCGTGAGGCAAATCTGAAGAGAGTTTGAAGTATGTCTGTGGTGTGTTAAGGAGCCTCACACCTTGGTGTCGGAGAGTCAAAATTATGAGGAATGAAAAGTCCCCAAAGATATGGGTTGGTCTCTTCATTCCAGGTGTCACGGTACATGGTAGTCTTTGTATTTAACATTAATTATTCTTGGGGAAAAATTCCACCCCTCATTTTGATCTGAATTAAGGCTTGCTGAAGTGTGTGAGATCTGGCAAAGTGTTACTGCTGGATTGTGGGTGCTTAGAATGATCTGCTGCTCAGAGTCTGACAACTTAAATCTAGTTTTTTCTCTTTATTCCTGTAGATGAGGTAGCCAGATCCCAATCCATGATGGGACATACAGACCAGGACTTCAATTTCTGTTCTGAAATGGAGGAGGAACCAGTGATATGATATGTTGGCTACTCTACATTGTGATATCCCTGGTCATGTGTTCAAATTACTTGATTATTTAAATCTTGAGTATATGCATGTTGACAGACAAGAAACCCTATTACTACCAATGCTCCTTTGCTCTGGCTTCCTCAGGGTACGTCTACACTACAGCGCTAATTCGAACTAACTTAGTTCGAATTAGTTAATTCGAACTAACACATCTAGAACTAAAAACTAGTTCGAATTAGCGTTTTGCTAATTCGAACTAGCGTGTCCACATTAAGTGGACCCTGAACCAGGCTTAAGGATGGCCGGAAGCAGTGCCGGCAGGGCATCAGAGGAGGACTTAGAGCGTGGAGATGCTGTCTCAGGCTAGCCGAGGGCTGTGCTTAAAGGGACCCGACCCCCACCCCGGACAGACAGTTCTCAGGGTGCCCCGCTTGCAAAGCAGTCCTGGCTTGGATTGCCCGGAGTACCCACACTGGGCACATCACAGCACTCGGCCATCAGACCGGCTGCACTTGCCTCAGGCTGCCATCTGGGGAGAGGGGGCAATTGGGGGGCTGCAGGAGAGCTTCCACCCCCAGAAGCCCGCAGAGCCAGCCCAGTCCACCCCATCGGGGGCGCGTACCCCATTCCTCCCTCACCTCCTTCCACTTACCCTTCCCTAGCCCCTTTTCTTGATGTACAAAATAAAGATAACGTGTCTTCCAAAATGGAATCTGTCTTTATTGAACAAAACTGGGGAAGACTGGGA